TGTCACCGCAGAACTTCAAAAGATGCCCACTTCAGTATGTGGTATGTTATAACCATAATTCATGTACCATAAAACCTATCTGCAACTATACCACTCACAGGATCTATTCAGTAAGGGCCCATTAGGTGCGACTTTTGAGAAGCCAAAATGAGCTTTTGGAAGCTGCTTCTGGACCTGATTGGTTAATTTTATAAAATTGCTTCTTCTGGTTAGAAGAGCTTTTGGGGGAAGATAGCCGAATGTGGTTTCCTCTAAAAGTTCTTTCAAAGATGAAGCTCTTTTAGAAATTAGTTTCCAAAAACCAACGACAGTAGTTTTCGCATTATGCTCTTCTATAAGAAGCACAAGCAAAAGTGGAAGTCGTTAGACAGGCCCTAACTACAACAGCAGTAATAAGATAAAGCCTTATTTTCAAAACTATGCCAACTGAAAAGCAGAATGCCAAAAAGAATATTGGCAGTATTAAAATTTATACACATCCAGTAACCATAGATATTTTCAACAACGAGAAACAATTATCGAAAAGATATTGAAGATAACTGACTTCTTCTTGTCAATGTCTGGTATATCACTTCTTTCTGCCTTCTCCACAATAACCTGAATAGCAGCAGCAGATATTATGAATAGAACAAGTAGAAGGACAAGATGAAATATCAAGCACCCGACAAGTCTTGAATGCGAAAACGAATTTTTCAATACCGGAATTCTATCAGGGTACTTCTCCCGGATTCTAGCAGCTTCTGCTTGTCGCTTCTCTGCAAAATTTAAATTTATATCATTAGATGCTAAAAAATGATAATGTAAATACCCCAAGAAATGTAAAAATGTATAGAAGTGAGAAGTTCTCAACTTAAGAGGATATACAAGAATTGAAATTCACATACCCAAGAAGATGATATTTGCATTTGGAAGGAATTAAATTTTGAAAAGCACTCTAATTAAAAATTCATCATTCATTAAGAATAACAATAAATCATCCATTCGTGTTATTTCTTCTCGTGCAACAATACAAATTGCAAAAAACCAAACATATCACACCATATTCGTAAAGTTTCACTCAACCAAGTCCCATTCCATATGAATTTTACACAAGTACGCACAAAAAACGATGTTCCACGCCACAGAAGTTCAAAAGAAACATTGCTCCAAATTAATTACACGCGATCCCTTAATCAAAGCAAAAGGATCAAAATTTCAAAAAATAGTGTTAATCAACGAGCAGGCAACCGAAGAAAGGTGTAACAATGCATTTACCAAGGGGGTGTTCCAACTTGAAGGAGCTCTTGGCCATGGCGACTCGTTAAAGCTACAATTCGGACGATTAGTTCGAGACGAAGGCAAAGGAGAAGGGGCAATTTCTAGGGTTTGTTATCTTCAAAATGGGGAAAAATAATTAGAAAATTAATAATTAATTTATAAGAAAAGGAGACTTCTCCTTTCCGTCACGGACACGTTGTAGAAGTATTATTGTACAAAGAGTCGTGTTAAAATAAAATGGGTATATTTCACTGCTCGTCCCCAACGTTTGAGGAAATTAACATACTTACCCTCAATCTTCTTTTGTCCAATTTTTTCTCTAACCTTTGAAAAATTAGCAAACCTAGCCCATGTTGATATTTTCATTCAAAAATCTAATAAATTTGTGTAAAATGACAATCTTACCCTTTAACCTAAATAAATAATAAAGCAACCAAAAACTTTAAAAAAAATAAAAAGAAGCAAAAGGCCACAAGAAAGAGAAAAAATTAAAAACATTTTCTTCCAACCCCACCCCTTGACGCGTAATCAGGGTAGTTTTCTCTTGTTTAAATCATCGCCTAGCAACATAATTTTCCTCGTGGTTACACAACAGGGGGTCAAGGCTTGGGGTCGGGATGGAAGAAATTAAAAAAAAAAAAAAAATCCTTTTCATTTTCATTTTTATTTTTCTTTTCCCTTTTTTTTTTTGGGGTCTTTGCTTATATTTTTCTTTATTCCTAATTTCTTTTTGTTCATCTAATATTATTGATAACTTAAAATTTATTTCTACTACTCAGCATCAAATTTTAATTTCAGCCACACGTCCAAAATTGTTAAATCATTTTTACTCACACATTTTATGGTTCCCACCATTATTCTTCCTATAAGTTCCTAAAAAGTAGTCAATTCAGAACGGAGGTAGAATTTACTAATTTATCTAAGTTGGGGACAAAAATAAGTCGGAATATGTCTATTGTTTTGCTCAAAGATTAGGTATCAATAGTGTAATTTATCCAAATAACAAATATAAAAATTATTTACTAGATGATTAGAGAATATTAAACATGCTGATGACTAATTAATCATGATTTATAACAATTTGGTCTTACCTAGACTATTATCCTACTTATCCTAGGAGTCTTTATTTGGTTCACATTGTATTTCATTGAAACCATTTATAAATGATGACATCATGATTTGACAAGTTTTATCTTTAATGATTCTCTCATGCGAATTCTCTCTATCTAGTCATTTCATATAAGAGATTAATGTAAAATTTCACAATTATTAGCCTTTGAATTTAGCCTCCGTTTGGTAGCCATTAAAATTTTCATTCTCATTTTTCTACTCATTTTTAACCACACATTCTTCAATAAAAGAATATTTTTCATCACATCAATAATTTTTTCTTACTTTTTAACCACATATTTCTCATCGTATCACTATTTAAAATACATTATTTTTTCAATAATATACATCATACACACTCTTAAGTTGCTAAAAACTT